TCTGCCACACTCACAGCATGCCTTTGGCATTCTCATCTTCAAACGCTTACGCGAATTCTTTATTTGCTTCGTATAAAATAACGTTTTCAACTGCTGACCCCTGGAGGCGGCCGGCCTCAGGGAGAGTTTCCTGACTCCTCGAGTGAGTAAGATGCTGTTGCATTAAGTGTCTGTTTTTGGAGAGTTAACTGAACTGAAACGAGCTGACACTGAATTCGGCCACCGGTTTCTTCTTCCTTGTGAGAGGACAGCGTTTCACGAGCCCAGGCTCACACACACGGGTAGGTACACAGCTCGCTCTCTGAGCTCCGTTAGGGTGGGAGTTTAGGAGAGCACCGGGTCGGCCCACCGCGGTGTGTGCCCTGTCAGGCGGTCCTGGCGGGAGCCCGGATCCCCGGTGTGGCTTCTTCCTGAGTCCCCGGCCACACCCAAGTCTGGAACGACTCAGTACACTCTCCCCTTCCCAGTCAAGAAAGCTCACTCATTACCTTCTTTACTTCTTTGGCACTAATGCGGTAATTTTCATTCCATGTAAATTAGAGATTTCTAGGAAAGATGGTAATACCCATACATCGTTTAAAAAAATACGTCTCGGGCTTCCCTGGTGGCGCAGTGGTTGAGAGTCCGCCTGCCAATGCAGGGGACACGGGTTCGTGCCCCGGTCCGGGAAGATCCCACATGCTGCAGAGCGGCTGGGCCCGTGAGCTTGCGCGTCCGGAGCCTGTGCTCCGCAGCGGGAGAGGCCACAACAGTGAGAGGCCCACGTACCGCAAAAAAAAAAAAAAGTCTCCCCAATAAACACTGAAATGAGCGAAAGGAAGCAAAATTAATGAAGAAAACTCCGTCTACTCTAAAATTTTACAAGCCCCAGCCTGCATTAATTTGAATAAAGACATTGCAAGCCTTCATCCAGCTAAACCAAAACAAAACGAAACAGAAACCCAGGTGTGGGAGTGGTAAAACACATGTTCCAAGACACCGGCAGTAAAGGAGCCAGAGAAGGCTCCTCCACCTCAACAGGAGGACGGGCAGGAAGAGGAAACGGTCGTCCCGGACGTCTGCCCCTCGATGGGCGGCCCCTGGGTCAGACCCGTCAGCCTCTCGCCGCCAGGGCTCTGCGGGGAATGGTGGTTTCCAGCACTGACGCCTGCCAGCAGCCGCAGCGAGAAGGCCAGTGGGAGCCCCCAGCCTGACTGGGCCACCCACAACCCTCTCAGCTGCCCTCAAGCTGCCGAGCTACCTTCCGTCCAGTAAATCCCCACTTTGCTAAAGCCGGACAGAATTCGTGTCTGCTGGTGCCGCCAGGAACTCTTAACAGACTCAACAAGCATGATTCCTTTTGCACTTAACAACACAACTCAGAGACATATAAAACAGAAACTACACAAACCACAAGATAAATGGATAAATCCTCAAGAACTGCATGGACTTTGAGGCACCTGTCTCAGAAAGTCACAGACCCAAAAGATTTTTTTCTAAAAAATTAAAGGAAAAAAAGATTTTGAGCTTCATGTCTACGTAAGTTCTTAATTTAAGCTAATTACAATTAAATAAAAGTTAAAAATCAGCTCCTCAGTCTCACACTTCAAATGTGTCTAGTGGTTTCTGTATTGGACACTGCAGATTACAGAACATTCCCTTTATCACAGAGTTGTATTGTACGGAGCTGATATCAAAAAGATGTGGTGTGTATATATTTCTATTCCGTGGAACATTATTCAGCATAAAAAAGAAGGAAATCCTGCCACTTGCCCCCCAAGGATGAACCTGGAGGACATCATGCTAAGTGAGACAATCCAGACACAGAACAACAAGTACCATGTGACCTCACTTGCACCTGGGATCCAAAGTAATCCAACTCACAGAAGCAGAGCGCAGAAACGGCGACTGCCGGGGCCTCGGGGGAGGGGACATGGGGAGGCACTGGTCAAAAGCTACAGACCTCCCGCTATACAGTGAAGACGTTCTGGGGGTCTAATACGTGGCTGGTGACTCTAGTTAACACTGGGAATTCCCTGGTGTTCCAGTGGTTAGGACTCGGTGCTTTCACTGCCGTGGCCCAGGTTCAGTCTCTGGTCAGGGAGCTAAGATCCTGCAAGCCGCACCACGTGGACAAAAAAAAACAAAAAAAAATACTGTATTGTATACCTGAGATTTGCTAAGTGTTCTCAACACATACACACACACACACACACACACACACACACGTAACCATGCGGGGTGATGGGTGTGTGAATTAGCTTGATTGTGGTGATGGTTTCACAGCGTGTGCACATCTCAATCATCACATCCTGTACCTTAAATGTATACAATTTTTATTTGTCAATTGTGCCCCAATAGAGCTGGAAAAAGTAAATACTCACTTCCATACCTAATTTTGTAACATGTTCCTTAAAGAGGGCCTCCCAAGTCATATAAGCTTTGGGTCCCACAGAGCCTGTCTCCTCCTGCCTCATCAACAAGCTGCAGGAAACACAGTCCCACCACGTCCTTCTTCATTCGAAAGGGCTCAGTGGTCTCGAGCACAGGCTTTGAGGATCGCAGATCTGGGTGGGAATTCCGGCTCTGCCACTTCTAGCCGTGTGCCTGTAGGCAGGTCCTCTGAGTCTTAACCCCTAGTCTGAAAACAGGGGTAAACTGGTGCTTGCCCCACAGGGTGATGTGATATAACATCTCAGCGCACCCGGCTCACAGTGAGCACAGCACACGCAGCCCACTGTAAGCACACAGTGAGTGTCAGCTATGACTATTTTTTGGTGTTTTTGGAGTGAAGGTTCATTCAGGAAATGCAGGTGAAAAAGGGCATTTTTAGACAAACAAAAGCTGAAGGAGTTTGCCGTAAGAAGACATCCCCTACAGTATGTACTTCGGCATAAGGAAAACTGACCCTGATGAAAAGTCTAAGATGCAGGAAAGAATGAAGAGCAATGCAAGTGTAAATACGTGGGTCATTCTGTGAGCATTTACCGTACAGAACAATAATAATAATATCTTTCAGAGTCTACAGATAGAATGAAGATGCACATCAACAAAGGCTAATAAATTGGGAGGGAAGTAAATATAATTAAACTATTCTAAGGCCTTCCAAGAGAATGGTCAAGGTATTGCTTAACCAGATCTTGGTAAGTTGGGTGTGCAAGCTTTAATCTAGGGTAACCCCCACCAAAAGAATAGAAATGGGGGTGAATTCCCAGGAGATCCAGTGGTTAGGACACAGTGCCTTCACTGCCGGGGCCCAGGTTCGATCCCTGGTTGGGGAACTAAGATCCTGCAAGCCACACAGTTTGGCCAAAAAAAAAACGAATACAAATGGGGTTTATAATTTCTGAATCAGTGGAGGAGAAGAAATGGAATGATAAAAAACACTCAGGGGCTTCCCTGGTGGCGCAGTGGTTGAGAGTCCACCTGCCGATGCAGGGGACATGGATTCGTGCCCCGGTCCGGGAAGATCCCACATGCTGCAGAGCGGCTGGGCCCATGAGCCATGGCCACTGAGCCTGCGCGTCCGGAGCCTGTGCTCCGCAACGGGAGAGGCCAAAACAGTGAGAGGCCCGCGTACTAAAAAAAAAAAAAAAACACTCAGTCTAAAAGACAGCATTAAAGGAGAAAAGAACGAGTGAGACAAGGACGGTTCACAAATGGGATGTCAGATTTAAACCAAAATATATCAGTTATTGCATTAAATGTAAATAGACTAAATGTTCCAGTTAAAAGACAAAGATTATCAGAATGTTCTTTAGAATTGTACCTTTCGCTAGTTATGATATTAGTCAAAAGAATTCTAATGGAACTTATACTAGAGAAAGAGGGTCAATTAAATGATAAATTTATAAATGATAAAATTTGTATTCACTTAATAACAGACTCAAAATGTGTACACTAAAAACTGACAGAACTAAAAGGAGAAATAGACAAATCGATAATCTTAGTGGGATAGCTTCACACAGCTCTCTGAGTAACAGACAGAACAAGCCCACAAAAAGCAGTAAATGTGTAGAAGATCTGAATGACATGACCTAATAGACATATATGAACAACTATAAAACCCACATTCTTTACAAGTACACATAGACCATTTTCAAGTATTGACTGTTATATGCCAGGACAGGGCACTTTTCCATACATTATCCCCTCTTATCATCATAAAGTTGTGAAACAGTCATCTGGGCTGGAAATCTCCCATCTGCCCTCCCAACCCACTCACCCCTTCTCTATCTTACTCTGTGTCCTGCAAAGCTGACCTGTGTGGGCTGCATTCACAGGCTCCTTTCCCCTCTGGCCTCTGGTTGGGTTTAGCCAGAATTGTTGGGAGAAAGAAGGGTAGAATAAGGGCATTTGTTCTCCGCACCCCTCTGCGGGGCTGCCAGGAGGATCCCTGGGGATGGCTAAGCTCCAGGCAGCTGCCCTCTCCAAGTTCCTGTTCCCACCCCTCCCCCGCAGCCTTCCAGGTGGCAATGGCCCAGCTGCTCTTAGTCCTGGGGGCTGTGCCATCCCTCGTGGGTCTTCCTAAACGCTACCCACACCTTTCCAAACTCTCTTAAATTGCCCAGTTAGACTGTGCCATCTGTCTCCTGCGAGGACCCTGGCTGTGTCCCAGCATCCTATCTGCAGTTAAGGAAACGTAAGCTCAGGGAGGCCAGTGACTCAGACGAGGTCGTGAGACCTCCTCCTACAGGTGCAGAATTAAGGACAGTCTCCCCCCTTGCTGGCATCTTTAGTAAATCGTTAACACGACCCTGGCATACCCCTTCCACTTGAGACAACAGTATGCCCTGTCAGAGTGTCTGAATAACTCCTGAATGTGAGTGGTCACGTGGCCTTTCTTGGTTTCTTAAACATCAGGAACACTGTGTCTTCCACAGTACAGTATTGGGCTGTTTGTTAATTAATTTCTGCTGCATAATACCTTTTAGAGGAAGTTGTTTAATAGCAATGATGACCTCTGAATTTACTACTGCGTGATATTTGATATTTTGTCCTCCTCCTCTGCTGTTTTTCAGATCGCCACGAAATTATCTCCAAAGAGATATTGGAGCTGGACCCCTGGGAGAACCAGTGGAATGTCGTAGCCATCAACGCCCTCATGCACGACAGCTATGATGTCTGCCTGGTGGCGAGGAAGAATCCCCGCGACCTCATCCCCCCGCCTTCAGAGTCAGTGGAGGAGGGTGGGGGGCACTGAGGTCTGTGTCTCTGTGGGACCCCCAAGGTGTCTGCCAAGGAGGCACTAGGGATGGAGAGCCCACAGCACGTGTGGGACGTGTGCACTGCATGCGTCGTGACCCGGTGCAGAGCGGCATGCACTGGGCGCTGCAGGGTGTGTGTGCAGAGTCCGCCCTCCGGTACCCAGGCTTTGCAGTGTCTTCCCCAAGCTTGGAGGGTAAGGATGGAACCGCCTGCTTCACCCACAGTTGAGCATAATCAGAAAACAGCCACTCCCAAAATATAATTTAGGGATGACATTTAAATAACACATAGAAATCCATCTATTTTACTTACTGTCTATGCTTCTGGAAGCCCAGTGGATTCAAAGAATGCATTTTGGTAGCTATTCTTCACCAATTTCCCAGGAGTTTCACATGCACAAGGCTCTTGTTTAAGCAGGAACAGTCGGTAAATTCCCTAGAGCTTTCCCAGGGGAAGACCATCCTAGACTGAGACACTTTCTTCAGTGCAGAACTGTGTGACTGTCATGACCGCTCCCCGTGTCCCCAGGTTCCAGCTGCTAACCCAGGCAGGAGGGACAGATCCATGGAAGCTGGAGCCAGTTGGAAACCTGCTTCTGCCACCACAAAACAGGACCAGTCAGACCCAGGGCGGGCTGTCGCGAGTAGGCTAGACTCTCAGAAGGCAGGGCCACACCTGTGTCTTTGCAGGTGTACCCCAAGTGCCCATGGCAGTGCCTGGCACATGCGTGGGTCTTTGGGTGGCCAGCATGGGGATGCCCCTGCTCCAGCCACGTGACCACAGTGGAAGCTGCTAGTTTCCCTGGATGGGGTTGGGCGGGGGGGGGCTCGTGGGAGGGCCATGACTTTTCTAGATGCACTGAGTTCGGGATCTAGGCTCTCGTCCCAGCTCTGCTTCTTAGCACGCTGCATGATGCTGGGCAGCCCAGCCTTTCTAAAGCCTTATTCTCCTCCCGTGCAGAATGGGAAGGAAAGTGCTCCCTAGGGTTGTTGGAGAATTGAGTGCGGAAGTGCTGGGCACAGTGCCTGTGAGACTCAAAACAGGAAGCGTTCTTTAGCTGCTGACACTTTCATTATCATTATCGTCGTAATCAGTATCCCCCGAAGCACAGCGCCCAGAACACCCGGGCTTGGCGTGGCATCTTGGGGTTCCAGGGAGAGATGTGCGTGGGGTCTGAGATCGCTCTGAAGCCCCGGCCCCTCCAGGTCCAGGTGGGGTACGGATAACCCAGGGTTTCTTTTCGGCCCTGGATGCTGCTCCTCTGACCCATATTTGTAACTCTGCCCTCCTGTTGTTGGATAGCGTGAGAGATTCTGCCTCAAACATTTCCCTGTCTTCCCTGTTCTCACCTTAATTGAAGGCTGTCCCAATGTGGCATGGGAGGACTCATAAAACTGGGACTGTTTGCTAGTTCTGTTCCTTGTGAGACAGGATGGTTAGGCGCTGAGCAGGGGGCATGGGGGAAGCGGTCCGGATGCTGACAGAAGCTGCAGCTGCCAGTCACGCCAGCTCAGTCTGTGCTCGTCAAGGAGGCGTCACTGTTCTCACTGATTGACTTTATAATGAGCAAATGCTCTAAAAATGAATATTAAATAAAATGTCACTGATGGAAGATCGCTTTCATTTTGGTTTTCGTCCTGCAATTCAATGTAATTTTCATCTGAGGAGGGGACGCTCAGCACCTCCTGGGCAGGAACCAGAGTCAGGGATGACCAGCCTCAAGGACATCAGGAGCGAGGCCCAGAGGCCAGGATGTGTGAGGTGGGCAAGGGCGGGAGGGGGTGCGGTTCCCAGGGCGGCTGAAGCACCGGAGGAAGCCAAGACAAGAAGATGGGGCCACACAGAAGACCCCCAAGGCCACCCCAGGAGCCCGGCCTTGGTGCGTCAGCCACACGTCTCCCGGCGAGGAAGTCCTTTAAGACCGTCCCCCACAGTCCACTGTATTCGAGCAGGGTGACAGCAGACACAGCAGATGGGCAGGAGGTCTCGTGGTAGCCCGCGTCTCAGCTGAACTAGCCCCATAGCAGTGGGAGCCGTGCAGGGCCCGTGCAGCCGGATGGAGGGCATCAGCAGTCTGCCACGAGTCAGGGTCAGAGATGCCGGAAGTTTGAGCACAAGAGCACAGTGGGTCAGCCAAACCGAAAGACCAGAAAATCTTTCAAAGGGTGGTGCCCCCTCCACCAGGGGTCCTTAGAGAGAGCCCCAACCGGATGGCCTACGCTGTCCACCCCAGGCCCTGCTGGAGCACCAAGAGAGAATAGCTGGGGGGTGCACAGTCAAGGCGCCCCACTCCTCCGCCAACACCAGCACAGCCCGCCGGGGGGTCCCGGCTCTTCTTGTTCCCACCTCACTGGCCATCGCAATCCCGTTCCCGTCTCCGGCGGTCAGCTTAGCACAACACGTGGACCATTCAGGGAAGGAGACATAAGGGAGCTCTACGGAGGGGCTTCGGGGAGAGGCCTTCTTGCTCTTTGACAGACGTGGAGAAGAAGACGTGGGCTCTTCTGCTGAGACTTTTCTAGGCTGCGGGGCCCCTGGAACTGCAGAGACTGCGCTGCCGTGAGGAGCGGGCTGCAGCTGGTCCAGAGAGCCGGGTGGGATGGGGGATGGGAAGGCCCTGGTCCTGGGCGACACAGCAGAGCCACAGAACAAACCAGCCACAGGACTTCCTGCTAGACGCTCACTGTTAGGATAAATGTTCCTTATTGTTCAGGCTGCCTGGAGTTACTTGCAGCCCGAGATTTCCGAACGATACTCTAGCCTTCCTCTGCCAAAGTTTCTTTTTCCTGGGATGACACATGTCACCTCTGCCAAAGGGGAGGGCTCAGCCCTGGTCCCTGGGACGTCTGGTGATGAGGTGCTTTGGTTCTTGCAGTGAGGAGAGGTGTGCACGCCTGGTGAGTGCCCGTGGTTCATGATCCCGAGCCATTTCTTAGCTATCTCTAGGATATTTCTTTTCTCTCTGACCTTTGACGTTGTTGATTACTGCATATCCCACCCACCACCTGTTTTTGTAAATAAATTTTATTGGAACACAGTTATGCTTACTGTGTACGTACTGTCTGTGACTGGTTTCACACGGCAACAGCAGGGCCCTGGAAGTGCAGTAGAGACCTCTGGCCCTTTCAGAAAAAGTCTGCCAACTTCTGGTGTATTCCATCAAACTTTCTTGAGGAAAAATACTGAGCTAAGGGACTATGTAAATTATAAAGGAATATACATGCATCTTCCTCTATTTTTACATATATGACATTTTACGTATATATGAACATATATAACATGGTTCTATTCCATTCTTCTTTCATTCAATAGTGTGCTTACAAAGACTATCCATACGCTCTCCCTTTTTAACAGCCACACAGGATTCCATCATTGATGCAGCATAGTTTCTTTAACAAACCACCATGCGGTGGATGTTTCTGCTGTTGCTTCCAGCTGTTCTTTTTTTTTTTTAATTTTCTTGGCTGCACCCTGTGGCATGTGGGATCTTAGTTCCCCGACCAGAGACTGAACCCATGCCCCTTGCATTGGAAGCTCAGAGTCTTAACCACTGGAGCACCAGGGAAGTCCCCTTCTTCCAGCTGTTCTTTGAAGGGGACTCCATTCTTTGCTTTAGGCTCTGACACCAAAGTCCAGGCTGGGGGCTGTTTAGGGGGTGGGGTCTGCATTGCACTTAGGTTCTCTACAGAAGCTCAGGAGCGTTAGGGGTGGATGCAGGAGCCTACCTAGCCGTGCTGTACGTGGCCTCAGGCCACTTAGAGACAGGACAGGTAGCAGCCACGTCATCGGGGAACAGACCAGTCTCCTGCAGGTGGGTCTGAGCTGGGCAGGGGGCCATCGGGAGCGAGCGGGCAGGGGGCACCGAGAGGACACCCCTGGCAGGCTGTGCCCATCCTGCAGCGTCAGAGGCTCAGCGGTGGATGGTCTCCACCGGCCGTGGAGCCCAGGACAAATACATGGGTTGGAAAGAGCTAACAAGCCAGTTCCAGGCCAAACATGAGGCTTTTCACACCAAGGCCACCAGTTTCAGATCGGAGGCAACCCCACTGAAGGCTGTTTCTCAGCCTTCCCAGTGCTGTGGGTCTGTAGAGCGACATTCCAAAAGGGAAGTGTGCCAGTGCAGGACCTGCAGCCTCTGACAGCCTGGACCAGGGAGGGGCGGGGGCAGCCCCCAGCTCTGAAGAAACCACTCTCTCCCCTTCTCCACCTCCGCTGAGCACACACCAGACACTGTCAGGTTGTCGAGAATAAAGCAAAAGGCCACCACGCCACGGAGGGATTGCTCAGAGGGCAGGTGGTCAGCACGTTCCGAGCGCTCTTCCAGAGCCTGGCCCTGCTCCCCATGCGGTCACATCCTGGAGGAGAGAAGAGATCTCAGGGACAGTGACGTGACCTCCTGTGAGGAGGGGCTGGAGTCCAAACCCAGCTCTCCAGGCAAGCACGCAGCACAGCCCATCGCCGCCAGGTGTCGCGCTGTCTCACACCTACGCGGTTCAGAAGTCCATGGAGGGTCTCAGGGAGCGAGGTCAGGGCGTTGGCAGGATGCGCTCCCCTTGGAGGCTTTGGGAAGAACCCACGTCCCTGGCTTTTTCAGTCTCTAGAGGCCACTGGTGTTTCCTGGCTTGTGGCTGTTCCTCCATCTTCAAAGCTGACAATCCATCTTCACATCTCCTCCTCTGACACCCCCCTTCTGATCCCCTCCCACCGGTGAGGACCTCAGATTGCGCTGGGCCCACACAGATATCCAGGACCACCTTCCCATCTTAAGGGCATCTGATTGGCAATTAATTCCCCTTTGCCATCAAAGGTTCCGCGGGTCAGCATGCACACGTTTGGGGAAAACCATTGCTCTGCCTACACACCATCTAACACGTAGAATTGCCCATAAAGCACATCTGTTCACAGCCTGTGTGGGATTTCACGTGGATACCAAGGGCCGGGGCCACTGGGACACAACAGCAGGTGTAAATGCAGGCGCTGTCGGAGGCCCCATGACATCCCTGTGGGGGACAGTGAGAGGGAAAGGCTCCCCTCACCTGCGGGATGACCTCCATTCTGCTCTAACAAGGGCCACAGATTCAAAGAAGTAAGGTGACCAC